CGGATTGTGGTGCCTAACTAGACGAAAGGGAGTTTGTACTCCGCTACACCTCGGCATTTTCATGAAAATAAAACTAAGATAAGCATGAGACTAACAGACGACAGTCTGGAAAATACTTTGAGACTCTGTGTCGATAATACAAATCCAGATTTCAACAACCTCGTGTCAAAAGTTCAAGCCCAGAGCTCACATTGACCTGCTGTTGTTTACTTTTTTCTTTACTGAATAAACAACCTGATAAAAACTTATCTGTTTTTGTGCCTTTTTGCACTTTATGCAAATTCAGAAAAGCATGACGTCGAGAGCATGTCTGTGTATATATGTGTGTATTCAGAAGCCAGTGAACTTTGTCACCCACCTTCAACTCAGCAGAGGGCAGGGCCGTGATGCAACACTGCTGTCCCAGCCCGCGCTATTTTCCTCCGCATGCTAGAGCGATGAAAACACAGGCACACGAGTTGCACATGTGAAACTGTAAAGTAATAACCGTTTATACTGCTGACGATGTGACTGCGTCAAGTTTAGCGTAAAAATAAGTAAATAGATAAATAAATAAATAAATAGACAAATAAGTAAATAGATAAACAGGCAAATAGATAAACAAGTAAATAGATAAATGAGTAAACAGGTAAATAAGTAAACAGATAAATAAGTAAATAGATAAATGAGTGAATAGATGAGTAAATAGACAAATGAGTAAATAGATGAGTAAATAGATAAGTAAATAGGTAAATGAGTGAATAGGTAAATGAGTAAATAGGTAAATAAGTAAATAGATAAATGAGTAAATGGATGAGTGAGTAAATAGGTAAATGAGTAAATAGATAAATGAGTAATTAGGTAAATGAGTAAATGGGCAAATGAGTAAATAGTTAAATGAATAAATAGGTAAATGGATAAATAGGTAAATGAGTAAACAGATAAGTAAATAGATAAATGAGTAAATGGATGAGTGAGTAAATAGGTAATGTATAAATAGATAAATGAGTAATTAGGTGAATGAGTAAATGGGCAAATGAGTAAATAGGTAAATGGATAAATAGGCAAGTGAGTAAATAGTTAAATGGATAAATAGGCAAATGAGTAAATAGGTAAATGAGTAAGTAGGTAAATGGATAAATAGGTGAATGAGTAAATAGATAAGTAAAAAAATGAGTGAATAGATAAATGAGTAAGTTGATAAATGAGTAAATAGATAAATGAATAAATGGGTAAATGAGTAAATAAGTAGATGAGTAAATGGATAAATAAGTAAATAGATAATTGAGTAAATAGATAAATGAGTGAATAGATGAGTAAATTGGTAAATGAATAAATTAATAAATGAGTGAATGGGTAAATGAGTAAATAATTAAATGAGTAAATGAATAAATAAGTAAATAGATAAATGAGTGAATAGATAAATGAGTAAATGGGTAAATGAGTAAATAAGTAAATGAGTAAATGAATAAATGAGTAAATAGACAAATGAGTAAATAGATAAACGAGTGAATAGAATAGGTAAATGAGTAAATAGATAAGTGAGTAAATAGATAAATGAGTAAATAGATAAATGAGTAAGTAAATAAATGGTTAAATTGATAAATGAGTAAATAGGTAAGTGGGTAAATAAGTAAATGAGTAAATAGAAAAATAGGTAAATAGATAAATAAGTAAACAAATAAATAAATAGACAAATAAGTAAATAGATAAATAAGTAAATAGACAAATAAGTAAATGGATAAACAAGTAAATATATGAATAAGCAAATAGATAAGTAGGCAGATAGGTAAATCGATAAATAAGTAGATAACAAGTGAGTAAGTAAATAGGCAAATATGTGAATAGATAAGTCAACAAATGAATAATCGAGTAAGTGAATAGATAGACAAGTAAACAAATAAATCAATAAGTAAATAG